AGGACTTCTAACATACTTAAATCCAGAAAAGAAACACAGCAGCAAAGAAAACAAGAGCAGGAAAAATCTGTAGAGGGTTGCTGCCTCCATCTGCCAGCTGCTCCTGTCTTCTACCTGTTTGGGATCGCCATGCATCTGTTGCTGTTTTCAGAGACTTGCAGAGGCAGTGGCTCCATGCTCCCCCCCCCGAAGCCAGCTCCAGTGTTTCACCACTTCCCAGCTTCACTTTCATACCGCTCCAAACTATTGTAAGGAAAGTTTCCCCACACCTTGGATGAGAGGTGGAGATACAGAATGGAAAATTTCAGCCCAAACGGCTCAAGTCCGGCAAAGTTACACTGGACAAACAGGAGGGGAGGGCTATGGTGAGAACTGCCAGCTGCCACCTGCGCAGCCAGAAGCACTGACTGGGCCCAAAACACACCCTACTATAAAGAGCCCGGGGTCTGGTGAGAAATTAGGCAGGAAAGGGAATTCTCTATGGCTTATATCTGTGGCCTGAGTTCCTCTGTCTATAACGATCTGAATTTTTGTTGTTGTTGGGTTTTGGGCTTTTTCCCTCCTATTCCCATCTGGTATAATAAACATGAGAACAGCAAGTTGTGTGGCGCAGACAACACATGAAATTGCTGTGTTTTCAGTGGAAAGGTTTTACAGTATTTTAAAGCAATTGCTCACTTCTTCAAAGGTAATGGTTCCCTGGTGATAGGCAATATTCCTACCAGAAAATGAAATTATGAGCATGGGGGGCAATGAGAAGAAATTGAAAAGGCAAAAAAATAAAGTGTAAAAAGATACTACTATATAAGATCCTCTCCTACTCTCAGCCTTTCCCAAGACAATTTTCCTATATATTTTCTGGACAAGATCTTATTAAAAATGGCTTACATAAACATGTCTTCCTGCGGTTCAAGATGTGGCCCACACCTTTGGTGTGAAGAAGCTGATACGTGATGGGAAGAGCAAACTGAAGTTGCCGTGTGTGAACGCAGAAGTGCTCAGAGACCAAGAAAGCTTCTTGCCAAAAAAACAAAGCTGATGAACCAGTGTTACTTTAAGGCAGGTGGAATAGTTCATGCTCTCATTTTTATCGCTAGTGCTAAGAGGGAAAGACAGCTTTGTTTTCACATGGTTATTGATTATTAACTAGCTTTGTGAAAGGTTACCTTTCTGCTAGATACAGCCGGAGGGGGGTGGTGGAGTGGTGTTAAAAATCAATCCCTGTTTCCCAGTCAACTTCTCCCACTGCCAGCCCTTGCCATGGATACAGTTTCCCCGTGTTGGTTTCATCATGGCTGGGATTGAAAAAGAGATTATTTTGGTTATGTTAAACTCACCTTCAGTACTTCGTTTCTGTCTAAACGTCGATTGCAGACAAGGGGTTGAGCACTGAGAGGTCATCAAATATTATGCAGATATAGAAAATCAAGCCAGATTACTATAAGGAAGTGTGATTGAACTATACTCATTATTTTACACTCTAGTTAGATTGTCAGGGAAGTGGGAGGAATGATGAAACAGCCATCAGTCATAACAAGAAATTAAACTAATTTAATAGGGTTCACAAATTATTTGCATCAAAAGGCAAACAAAGTGGTCCTGCCACCCTTCCTAGGGAATAAAATAGCACTGTGTCCAGGTGGTTTTACATTTCACTGACCTCAGCAGCCTGCAGTGATGTCTGTCAGACACTGCTGGAGACGAAGTGGACAAGACTTTCAAAATACAGTGACTCACATTAAGCTCCTAAATTAATCATTTAAAGTTAACATCATTGAAAAAAAACCATTAAATTTCAAGAGGCATGTTGTATATGCTGATATACATTTAAAACCCACATAGATATGACATGAGGTATGTGGCTTGGTTTTCCAGTTGCCTGAGCTGCCAGAGTCGTATTGTAATGTAAAGTTTTAGGCTTTATATAATACAGAACAGGAGTTAACCATGCAGGCAACCTCTTCTCTGTCAGGCAAACACCGAGCTACAGGAATATAATCAGATCTTAACAAGTCCTTGAAACATACTTGAATCTAATATGGTAATTGAAGTATTGCAGTGTGGTTATTGTGTGATCTTACTGTAGGACAGCAACAGCTGAGTGTCTGGAACCTTTGTTAGTGGTGCTTGAATATCTGAATTCTTGTGCTGAAGTTGAGGGTAATTACAACCAGCCTGTTCTACTTAACATTGTTGCTTCAGTGTATCATCCTTCAATTACTGATACAGACACATGGATTCGTTTTTGTTTAATGTCTTGGAATAACAAACTTGATATAAAGCTTTACCTTCTAAGTAGATTTTCGCAGCATCTTTAATTAGAGCACTGAGTAGCCAAAATAAGTCACCTCAAGGAGTAAAATGCCATTAGAGGAAATCAGACAACACAGAGCTGGAAGTGTGAGATTTCCAGCTCCATGGATGAAGCTGGGTGATCCAAACATGGCACCCATAAATATCCCTAGGATCTCTGAGGACTTCTACAGTCCATAAAAACTTCCTACCACACATAAAGCACAGGACATGCAGCTGAACTGCAACATATGGCCAGGCAGATTTAAGGGTAGGAGGAAACTTCCCAACCCGTTGTTAATTTGTTCTGGTGCACAACATGTCTTTTGCTTTTCTGGTTTCAATGGTTAAATCTCTGTTGTACATGTATCAGTGTGAAGAAACACATTTAATCAACCATCTTTTCTCTGCATGGTTACGTATAGACTGAGGATGGCCAAGTTTCTTGTCATCTTGAGGCTGTCAAAACCAGAGACCTGAGGAGTTAGGACAGGGGAATTCCCCAGCTGTGAGATTACAATGTGTGTGCAGCAGTTCCTGGGCTCACCAAAGTGTTCAAGTTCCACTGGCTTCACAGCGTCCACATATGAGCTAGAGAGGCAAGGCTGCATCTTTTAATTTCTTACATTGTTCCTACCCATCTCAAGACCCTTCTAGTTGGAGAATCAGGACTGATTAAATGCAGGCAGGTGCAAGCTCAGCAAAGGGCAGCGATGCTCACACAGCAGCAGAGAATCTGGGGAACCTTTTGCCAGAAGGTGGTGGGAGGCAAAGATTTGCATAAGGTTTCAGGGGAGATTTAAGGTGTGGAAGAACTAACGGGACTGTGACGTTCTCACACGTCAGGAAATACCTGGAGTAGAAAATTCTGGGAGTCTGGGAGAAGATCTCGATGTGGCGTCTCATGTCCACAGCTGCTGCAACTGCCAAAGATGATGTGTATGGGCATCATTTAGGGAGAGAGTATGGGGTCACTGGACCTTTGCCTGGAGTCAACATAGCAGTGTCTGCAGAGCCCCATTCTTCCCATCGCTCCCACCTGCCTCTTCCATCGTCCATTTCCCACACCAAGCAGGCGCTGGGGTAGGACCCACTCACAGCTCAGAAGCTTCTCTTGGGAAACCCCAGCAGTAGAGGGGCTTTGCAGCCAGACCTCGGTGACTACATCCCGGGAGGAGACGCAGCCCGTGGCCCCGGCTGCTGGACATTACCACTCTGGGGACCGGCTGGGGTCCCTAGTGCCGCGATACCCAGCGGGGCCCTTTTCCTGCACTGCAGCTCGCCTCTGTTGTTAGCACGGTAAAGCGTGCCCTTATCGCGGGCTCACGCAGGCAGAATGAAAGAGAATTAGCTCTAAATTATACGAAATTCATTTGCTTTGGAGGGGCAAGTGTTTGCTCTATTTAGAGACGTTCGTTATAGAGAGAGGACTGCATTAAGACACCGGTTAATGGTCCTCCCTGGAGATGAATCAATTTGCTCTGGGTTTTATGGCCTTGTGCTTGTTTGTCCGCGCCGGTTCCCCGTGGAAAAATCGGGGCTGTAAATGCTTCTGGGGGCAGATCTGGAGAAAGGGTGCTGAGCTAGGGTCTGTGCCCGAGGAGTTTCCTGATCAGAGGACAGCCGTGCCAGCCCAGAAACCCCGGGGAGGCACCACAGGCATGCATAGAGATGCTGAGCGAGGGGTGCACGGCTAAAGAAGCTCGCCTGGCTCAGCGCACCCGCCCCGGGCACACACTGCCTGCGAGCCCCGGGCAGGCCGTGTACCCGCCCGGCTTGACAGGGGACGGAGAGGGAGGGCGCCGGGCCGGGGGAGCCCCAGCAGCAGCGATGTCTATCGGTAATTCCCGCTAATAAAATACTTTTTCACTATCCGCACTATAATTGGTTTACAGCCTTTTTTGTTTATTTATCCATAAGAGCTGCTGTTAAATGGCTTGAGAAAGCAATCGCTTAATGGCTCAATATTGAATCAAAGGCTCAGTGTGCTTTCTAAGAGATGGGGGACCTGCGTGGGTCCGGAGCGGAAACTCATTTTAAGTGTAATGGACTGGGCGGGTTTATGATCCCACGGAACCTGACGCAAAAGCGAGCTACCGGGAGGCTCCTGCCCCGCCCGATCAGAGGGTGCATCGCCGCCGGCCAAGCCGCGCAGAGCCCGGCCGAGTTTAAGCTGGCCAAGCCGAACTGAACAGAACCGAGCAGAGCCGCCGGCGTACGGGCCCGCCGCGCTGCTCCCCGCTCCCGCCGTAGACTTAGCGGCGGGTGTGCCCCACGACGGCGGCGGCCGGAGCCCCGATGCCGGGGAAAGAGCCGGGAGAAGAGGCAGTGAGAGGAGGAGGGCCGGGCGTATAGGAAGCGTGCCTGTCCCCAGGCCAGCGAGAGCGGCGGCAGGGCCGAGAGCAAGGAGGCAGGGAAATGATCTTTGTCCCTTTCGGTAGCTCTCCGCCTCCTCATAGCCTCGTCACCAAGTCAACCGGCACCAGCTCGGAGCAGATTATCTTCGAGGGTCAACACATTGCAGCCCAAACCGCGGGGAAGGCTCCCAAATTTACCCCTTGGGCAAACAATCCGCTGCCTATCGCTCGCTCTGGTGATAGCATTGTGGTCCCCACCAGCCGCATCCCCCCGCCAGGGCGGGAGCGGGCAGAAAGCGGATCGTACCCGCTCACTGGCCTCCGGCACACAGGTCCCCCCGAGGGAGCGGGCGCACCTTGCCCGCACCCTGGCGGGCACCTGTCGCACCCTGCCCGTCCCCGGACACCTCCATCCCTGCACAGGATGCTCCCGCAACCAAAAGTGCCCTGACGCCAAACACCTTCAGGAGTCTTTTCTTCCAGAGGGTTTCCCTCCCCAGGAGGTGACCGGATGAGGGAAGGGTGGCTGGGAGAAGAGCAGCCCCTGGCCAAGCTGGCCGCGGAGGCAAAAGGTGGGTTTCGGGGCTACCCTTCCCGGCGAGCCCTGAACATCGGAGCAATCCCCTCAAGACCCTGACTGCGGGACTTCTCACCCCAAAGGAGGGAGCGGCACCCCTTGGCGGGGTCAGGGGGTCCTGGGGCCTGCCTGGCCACGGCGAAGGGGCTTGCGGGGCCAGGGCCACCCCAGGGGCCTCTTATGGGTCGCGCCCCGCCCCGGAGGGCCGCGGGAGGGCTCACGTGGGGAGCGGCACCTATGGGGAGGCGGCGGGAGCCGGGCGGGCGGCGGGGCCCATCGGGGCGGCGAGCTGTCAAAGAGGCATCCCGGGAGCCGGGAGCGGGAACAACCCTATGTGTCTCTAAGCTGCGAGACCCCCCGCCCCGGCCCCGCTCGCCATGAACACCGAGGAGCAGTATTACGCCTCGGCGCAGCTCTATAAGGAGTCGTGCTCATTTCAGAGAGCCCCGGCACAGGATTATAGCCCCGGTCCCCCCGCCTGCCTGTACATGGGCAGGCAGCAGCAGACTCCTTACCCCAACGCCTTAGGGGCTCTCGAGCAAGGCAGCCCGCCAGACATCTCACCTTATGAGGTGCCCCCCATCACAGAAGATGCCGGGGTCTCCCACCTTCACCACCATCACCACCACCACCATCTGCCTCCTCTCCACCAGGACGCGCTGCCTTTCGCAGACGGCGCGGACACGGGGGCGATAGACGAGCCCCGAGTGCAGGTGCCTTTCGCCTGGATGAAGTCCACCAAATCTCACGCCTGGAAGGGACAGTGGACCGGTAAGTCCCTCCGAATCCCTGTGCCCCTGTCCCGCCGCTCCTCCCTATCTCCTCGGTCAGGAACCCTCCCCTGCACCGGTCCCGATCCCGCTGCTTGGGTGTAGCGTGAAGAGGTACCGGAGGGTAACTTCCTTGGGATGTTACTGCCCCCCCTGACAGCCCTTCAAGACCCACTGCTGTGGGGCTGCCGCCGTCGGGTTGGAGCCGTCCCTCGGGCCGCTCCCCTGCCCAAGCCGTCAGCAATTATTAACAGCTTGTTTTTCACCAATTAACTAATTGTCCCCAAGTCAGGGCGACGTGCAAACGCTTCTCCGGCGCTGCTGCGTCGCCGAGCAGGGTGGGTCCGCGGGTCAGCCTCTCCGCGGGCTCGGTGGGCTCCTCGCTGGGGCCGAGGATGGGGAGCGGAGACACCGGCAAGCTGGAGCCGACGAGAAGCGGCGGGCAGGACGTCAAAGGACACGGAGCAGCCCCGAAACTGCGGGGCAGCCACCTGGCCCCTCACCGCTGCCTCTGTGCTCTCCCCGGCGGCATAGCCCGTTTTCCTCCCAAACTCCCTGTCCCACCTTCTCCCGCTTTCCAATGGGTTTTAGTCGTAATTGCACCTTTCCAAGTGAAAACAGAGGGCAGGGGAAACAATGCACAAACGAAACACAGCTGCCAGCGAGGGGAAGAAACTCTATCTAGACAGAAAGTTCCGCTGCCCAACAATATTCTTGTCTCTGCCTGCACAATGTTATCGTGTCCTGCGCCTTTGTCACGCCTATACGGCAAATATTATATCAATAGCTTTGTTCAAATAGACAGTTGAAAAAAGGACCGGAGTATTAAAATCACCATGAAATAGTTTGGGAATTACATGGCTCAGATCGAGGGGAGAGGGGACAAGGAGGGGGACAGGCTGCGGTCCCCTATCCCCACAGAGGCGCAACCGCCGGGAAGGGGAGAGGAATGCTGCCCCAAGCTCGACTCGGCAGCAGGGACTGTGCCTGTGGAGAGAAAAATCAGATCGTTTTCCTTGGATTGAATGAATTTCTGGAATAATATATATATATTAAAAAATAGACATATTAAAAAGGGTCGGGTGGGAGAAAGCGCCAGACACCCGACATTTTTTTCTTTGTGTCCTTACCGGATGACCAAACAATCAGAAAACCGAAACTTTTCCCGCAACACCCGAAAACTCTGCCCTGTTCTTTCCAGCTCTGCCGGGAGGTCCAGGCAAAGGCACTCCCACCGCTCTGCGTGGTGCACGCCGGGGGTGTGCGGGCACCCGAGGCTGCTCCCACCGCGGTGCGCGGGGCCCAGTGCTGTGACGTGGCTGGTCCCGGGAGGTTCTGCAATGTAGAAACCACAGATTCTATATACTATAAGCTCTATAGCCCAAGGATTTCAGGTTCTATGGACACCCTTGGGATGTAGGCGCTCATGGATTCTGCGGGGCTTTGTGTTGCTATTGCCTATGAAAGGCGCCCGGAGACGACGTGGCAAACCCGGCCCGGTGCCACCCGCCGTGCCCGACCCCGGGCTCCGCCGGACCGAGAGCTGCCGGCCGCTCCCCTAAGGCTCACCCGGTCCCACAGGCAGGACACGGCGGGAGCACGGCCCAGTGAGCGGCGGGAACAGGTCTGCCACGGCCTGGGAAGATGCCGGTATTCCGCCTTCCTGGTAGCGCTGGCTCACCTTGCCATAACAGAGCTATTTTTTTCAGATCCATGCACACGCAGTGTTATATTTACAAACATTTAATGCATATATATTTATTTTAACATCGATTTAATATATATTTTAATATATTTACAGAAAAATATATACAGAGGCTTATATTTATAAACATTTTTCTGTATATAAACATTTCTATGTCTAATTTAGATTAAACATTAGGAAGAAATTCTTCACTATGAGAGTGCTGAGGCACTGGCACAGGTTGACCAGAGAAGCTGTGGCTGCCCCATCCCTGCAAGTTTTCAAGTCCAGGCTGGATGAGGCTTGAGGAACCTGATTTAGTGGAAGGGGTTCCTGCCCGTGGCAGGGGGTTAGACTAGTTCTTTAAAGTCCCTTCCAGCCCAAACCAGTCTATGATTCTCTATACATGCATTTTAATATATCTAATATATATACACACATAAGTTTATATACAGAGGTTTATATTTCTATTTATAAACATTATGTACATATAAACCCATGGGAATAGAAAGACAGGAGGCGAAGAGCTGTGTAGCTGTCTTGAAATGGCTGTTTCGATGTGGCTCTTTCAACGACTGTTCCCTACAGACGTTATCGCCACCGAATGTCTTCCCACTATGGCCCTGGCCATAGTGGCCGGGAGTTTCACTGCCCTCCCGTCCCCACGCGTGCCCTTGGCTGCTCTGGGAACGGCCATTCCGCTGCTGCAGCTGTTTACGGGAAGGAGAGATTCAAGGTTTCACCCACCTGACAAAACGGAGGGACTGCGGTCCTGCTGTCAGTCCTGGTCCCTTCCCTGCAGCCATGCCGGCGCCCTCCCCGTTGCGTCTCACGGGGTTCTCGGCGGCCGGGAAAAGGCCGAAGCCTCCGCGGGCTCAGGGCTGTTCGGTGGCGGTATCCTGTAAGAACCCCCCGAACTCTTGTTCCGTGAGATGTCCATCACCTTTTTGAGGCTTGTCCCTACGGGTGCCCGCGGCGAGGCCCGTCGGGGAGAAGCTGCCCGCTCGCCCTGCCTGGCTGCGGCACTGCCAACGGACCGCCGCTGGCCGGCTGGCTTCTCTTCCGGGTCCCATACTGCGGGGGTGAGATTTGGCTGTATTTTCTATTATTATTGTTACTATTATTATTACTACTGTTACTATTATTATTATTATTAATTTGGCTACTTGTGTGTGTACAAACGAAAGTATTTTTCTGTATTATTATAGCTTTGGTTTTGTGGTTGGCTTTGTTACGTGGTTCAAGTTTTTTTTGGGGGGAGCGGATCCGTTTTGCTGTTGGGGGATTATGTTTATTTTAATTTTAATTTATTTTTATTTTTCCCCCTTTCTTTTCACCCCCTTTTTTTTTTTTTTTTTTTTTTTTTTTGGCAATTGCCAGGCTCTGGAGCTCTTTGGAGCTTTCAGCGACATGCGACTCGAGGCCCTTGAGCCTCAACCCCAGTTTGAGCGACGGCTCTTCCCTGAAAACTCCCACCAAATTACTGCTAACCTCCCCCTAAATTGTTAGAAAATAGCAGCAGTCTCAACTGCCGCCACCAGCACCTCCTTATTATGCCAGGTCGGGGGCCTCCCCGAGGACACCTCTCACCCCATCCGCTTTTCCCCTCTTGTTCTTCGCGTCGCACAGGGATACAGAGTCGCGGCCCCGCAGCCCGATGGGAGACCGGGCTGGCCGGGACTGACTGTCCCTTCTTTCTCTCCAGGGGGGTCCTACGTGGTGGAGCCGGAGGAGAGCAAGCGGACGAGGACGGCGTACACCCGGGCTCAGCTTCTGGAGCTGGAGAAGGAGTTTCTCTTCAACAAGTACATCTCCAGGCCGCGGCGGGTGGAGCTAGCTGTCATGTTGAACTTGACCGAAAGGCACATCAAGATCTGGTTCCAGAACCGGCGGATGAAGTGGAAGAAGGAAGAGGACAAAAAGCGAGGGGCGGGCAACAGCAATGACCCGGAGCAAGACTGCGTAGTGTCCCCCGGGGAGCTCCAGGGCAAGGAGGATCTCCAGCCGTGCCCCTCCGGGAACCTGCCCTCGGGGGCCTCCAGGGACCCTCTCGCCCCCAACCTCGCCCCCAGAAGGCAGCTGGATTCCCGGTGAGCCATGGGGAGTCCCACGCCCCTGGCCGAGGAAGAGGAGACAGGGGAGAGAGCCGGGAAACTGGCTCCGGCTTCCCGCCGCAGTGCCGTGCCGTGGCCGACCCTCGCCCGCCTTCCCTGGGGAAACTCGATGCCCCCACTCCGAAACTCTCGTCCTGAGAAAATTAAACGAAAGTGTTCGGCTGTAGCGAGGAGAGGCTCGCTGCAGGCAGTGGGGCCGGAGGAGGCCGCAGTCAGCCTCCGGGATGGCGGCGAGCTGAGCCCCACTTTCCCGGGGCACCCCGCGTCGCAGCGGGCCCGATGGGGCAGCTTTCCCCGGGGAAGGCGGGTCTCGGGCAGGCACCGACGGTGTGCGCAACTCTGGGTGCACGGAGCTGTCTGGAAACAGGAGGAGAAGCGAGCCTACGCCGCCTTGCCGCTGGCGGCTGCTCGGAAGGGGCGTGGAGCCTGCCGTGCCCGGCGCTGCACAAGAGCGGCCGCAGAGCCAGGCATCGTGGGCCTTAGGGGTCAGAGCCCCCAGGGGCACCGGTTCTACCGAGGACCCTGCCAGGACTGTTACTTCTGTAGGAACTGGAACCTGGTTTGTTTCTTTTTCTTTTGCATTTGGTGGTGGTGGGGGGGAGGAATAGAAGGGGAAAACTTCAAAAAACAAGAGCCCGGGTGTCCTGCGGGCAGGACTTGTCTCCCCCGATGACCGGCTCCCCATGATCGGCACAGGTAGCCAGAACCCCCTCAAGGCTCTGCCACAGCCTTACACTGCGTTACGGCCTGCGTGTCTCCCATGGGATGGGTGTCAGCCCGGAGATGCGCCAGAAAACCCGCGGGTGCTCTCCGGGCAGCAAATAGGCTCAGATCGGGCTGCACCCCGAGAGCGGGACGTGTCAAGGGGGTTAGGACTGGTCCCAGGAGTATTTTCCTCCCTCTCTTCCACCCCTCCCACAAATTCGGACTTTTCTTCCGAGAGAAGAAACCTCCCTGCAGCACAGGCTCTCGGCCCGGTGTAGCTCTATGCATGGTTTTTCTCTTCAGTCCTGGCTTTATATCTCCGCGGAGGCTGTTGCCGGCTCCCTCCAGGGCTATGGTGCCTTTTTCAGGGTGTTCTTTTCCGGCCCTGCTCGGCGTGCGGGACAGCCTGTCTACTACGGGCTGGAGGGGGCTGCCCTGCGGAGAGCCGGGCACTGGCGGCTCAGCCGCCGGCCCCCCGGCCCTAGCCAGCCTTCTCTTCCGCCGCTGCTGAAATATCTTCCCTGTCGCGACAAGGGCAGCAACAGGCATTTTGCACAAGGGAAATGAGCGGTTCCAGCGAACGCCTCTAAGAGCGATGGTAATTCAGCCAGGTGCAGAAAAAGATTACATCCAAACTAGAAGCAGAAAATAGCGGCTGGAAGGAAGCAGGAGCTGCCCTGGTTTGCTGTGGGTCAGGCCGATCTGTCTCCTCTCATCGACCGGGAGGCTCCAGACCTGCTCCCGGCAGCAGCAAACCTCGAGCATCCTTCAAGGACCTACAGCATCCCTCGTGCCCGCGCTGCGGACCCGCGACTACCATGGAAGGAAGAAGAGAGCCTGTTCCACCCTGGCCAGAGGATGTTTCCAGTCCCTCAACTGAAAGCCAGGGGGAGAGGAAGTAGCTTGCCCCTGCTCTTTGGGGTTTTTTTTCCATCTTATGTGAGACTTTTAGCAAAAAGGTGAAGACCTGAGCTGAAAGTGTAATTCGTCTATTGATTTTCTTTCCCTTGGGGGCATTAAGACGTGTGCAAACGGAAGCATTTCTGGTCAACTTTCCTGCAAGTTGCCTGAGAAATTTGTCTTTCAAGCCGGTACACCCTTATTCATCAAAACACAGGCAACGAGGGAGAGCTTCACTAATGATTATATGAGCAAAATTCAAATAAAGCTGTTCTGCTTAAGAAGCAAAGCACCGCATTAATTAAAATAACATTTCTCAACCTTCTCGGGATTATAAAGCTCTTTTAAAACCTCAGAATTTCTCATCACTATTTATTAGCATCAACTTGTCACTGATAAAGCACAGTGGAACAATTTCCACATACTTTTTACAATGTCTGGAAGTGAAATCGCAATTTGGGAGTCACTATAAAATTAGATCTGCCTAGATTGGCACAGCTTATTGGCCTGTGTAAGCAGCATGCACGGTGCTTGTGATTTTACCTGTAATTTCTCTAGTATAGCACATTCCATCTCCATTTTCTCCATACACTGCTGTAAAAACAGAGAAGTTGCAGAGTTTGGAGGAATTGTTTGACCATGGTGCCAAAGTGTTTTTATGAGTGGAAGTAGAATCAGACCTGCGTTGTTTAGTGTTAATGAATAAAGTATTTTTCTTCAAAGAACTGATATAGTTTATGGGTTTAGCACTTTATATATCTAAATATAATACTAATTATTTTTCCAACTGCATCAATAGAAACAGTAGCATTAACTGAATCAAGACAGCTCTGGGACCTTGTAGAGACAAAGGTTCAGGGTAACCTTCACCTAACAGAGCCACTAGCCCTGCACCGTGCTGGGGAAACGCAAGGCTGATATGGAAAGTAACAAGGCTGCTAGAATTCTTGTGCCATGTCATCTCACCAAATCCAGTTGTGCAGACATATCTATTTTTTCTAGGAGTCACCACTCCTCATGAAATAGTTTGTAATTTGTATTATTAAATAGTTCTTCATCTATATTTAATCACCTTTAACCCTAGGACAGCGTTTCCACAAGACATTCTAAAAATTGTGACTTTAAAAATTAGGAATGAGATGAACAGGGTGAGATGTCTTTTGATTTCCTCCTTGGGCAATACTCAAGTGCTTTAGGCATTTGTGGGAAAGGTACATACAAAAAAAATCACATGTATTCTGTGTTGGTTATATTAAAGAACAACTGAGCAAGATTCAGGGCTATTTTTCCCTCCCCAGGTGCACCTGGTATGGGCATCTGCAGCACCAAGAACTATGGAGACATCAATTCTACCTATGGCTCCAGGTTAAGACAATGAGGCTGCAGGTCTTGATGCAGCTTTGCGCAGGCAGCACCTTTACTTCTGCTTTGGTCAGATACACCCCCCTGTACCGCAGTGAAAGTTTTCCATGTCTACTTTTGTGCTACCAGGATATTGTCTGTTATGACATGAAGGACCACAAGGCAGGGAGTATTTAATGCCCTCTTCTTTCTCCAAGCAGGGATGAGCATCTAATGTGAACAGCACACAGTTAGGCAAATCCTGGCCAGGAGCTGGGGGCTGCTGTCACACACAGGCCAGATCCTGCCACAAAATGGTTGTTGGTTTGCTGCTGTCTGAGAAGTTGCATCCAGCAGCCTCTGTTGGTGCCATGCTACCATGGCGCTTGGGCTGAGGTTGGGAAAGGGAAACAGGAGCTCATGCACCCCCTGTGCTAACCCCTGCTTTACCTCCCACATACAGGACCATGTCCCAGGACCCTGCAGTGATGGTTGTGTGAAAGGTCCTCCATTACAAACCCATACGTTTGCCTGAGAATCCCTCCATGTATGAATAATTATGTCCATAAATCAATTCTGAAAGCAGTGATTTAACTTAAGGTGTGAAAGTCTTTCCAGCCCGACTCTGGAGCCTGTTACCTCCCACGCTGCGGTTGCTGCTGCTGCCATTACAGCAACTGAGGGGAGATGTTGCAGGCTGAGAGGAAACATTGCTCAGGAAGGCTTTGAAGTGCAACCAGGGTTGGGATGCCAGCCCTGCAACGACCACCAAAGCAGGGTCTGTCAGGCTGGGCAATGCACCTCACAAACTGGGTTCCACACCAGGCAGAGCTGTCAGGGAGTTAAGTGTTGTATTTCAAGGCTTACTTTGGAAGTAGAGAGGAATGTCTTTGGGCTCCCTTCACTCCTCATGGCTTTATAGGGTTATTCTTCACATAAGTGTACGCAACCCATACACACACACATGCACACATGGCTTCCAATAAACTGTGACTCAGAAAGGCAGTTCCTCCATGTTCCTTCCACCCCAGATGGGGATAAGAATGGCTAGATCTTCAAGGATATTTTTATAGGAACTCAATCAGGAACATGTCTGGTTTATCATCTAGGGAGGACAATGAAATGCAGAAACACTGCAGTGCCCATGTTGGTAGTGAATATTACCTGCTTTTACTCACCCACTAGTTACTTTCATCTATCATTTATCCTCCTTGCTGGTGTCCCACTGGATTCCACCACCCTTCACAATATCTTTCTGTGCACACTGCCAGCACTTATGTGCTTCTGCAGCACTTTAGCTGTGATCACAAGGAATGGTGAAGCAAAAGAGGAAGTACATGAATGCATGGCTTCTCCTAGTCTCTGCCTTTCTCCGTCTCCTCTCCTTTCATCACTTGCTGTCATCTTATTCTGCTCCTCTGTTCTCCACATCTTCTGGGATTGCAACATATGCAGGAATAAATAAAACCATAGACTCTTAAAATAGCTAGGGTTGGAAAGGACCTTAACATCATCAAGTTTCAACCTCCCTGTCATGGGCAGGGACACCTCACACTAAACCACATCACCCAAGACTCCATCCATCCTGGCCTTGAACACTGCCAGGGATGGAGTATTCGCAACTTCCTTGGGCAACCCATTTCAGTGCCTCACCACCCTCACAGTAAAGAATTTCTTCCTAATGTCTAATCTAAATCTCCCCTCTTTCAGTTTAAAACCATTCCCCCTTGTCCCATCACTACATGCCCTTGTAAAAATTGCATCTCTGGATTTCTTGTGGGTCCCCTGTAGGAGTCAGTCCTGGCCAGATTTGTTCATGGAGTAGGAAATTCAAATGTGGTTCCTCTGCTAGTAGGCCTCAAGCATTTCTGCCTCTTATCAGGGTTTCTTCCAGGAGTCATTTGCTTCCAGCTTCAGTGCCACTGGAATGAGGAAAAGTCACAGCTGGGCTGCCTCGGACTGATGGGGGGACCTCATGTTCTTAGGAGCACTGATGCTCCATCCACCAGGTTGCACTGGGCACAAAAGGCAGATGCCTTGGCAAACAGTCCTCAGGACTATTCTTCATCAACAACTCAAAAATACATCGGGCGGGAAGAAACCTGAGAGATGAGGGTGAGGCCAGGAACAGAAGCACCTCAAGCAGGTGTGGAGCATCCCACTTTGAAAGCACTGGCAGAGGGAGGGTTACTGGGCTTTGTTTCATGACAGAGCTGGTCTGGGTACGATGAGTTCGTGCCAGTGGCAGCTTTGTGTCTTCCATGAGGACATGCCATCCAGAGGGACCTTGACACGCTTGTGAGGTGGGCTGATGCCAACCTTATGAAGTTTAACCATGACAAGTGCAAGGTCCTACACCTGGGTCGGAGCAATCCCAGACACAGCTACAGGCTGGGCAGAGAAGAGATTCAGAGCAGCCCTGCGGAGAAGGACTTGGGGGTGTTGGTTGATGAGAAAATGAACATGAGCCGGCTTCAGTGTGTGCTTGCAGCCCAGAAAGCCAACCGTATCCTGGGCTGCATCAAAAGGAGAGTGACCAGCAGGTCGAAGGAGGTGATCCTGCCCCTCT